CAGGTGGAAGGGAGCTCTGAACAACCTGGTCTAGTGGAAGGTGTCCCTTCTCATGGCAGGGGCGTTGGAACCAGATGGTCTTTAAGGTCCCTTACAACCCTTACCATTCTATGATTATATGATTCTATAAGTACCCTTCAAGTACTGGATAGCAAATTCAGGCAAACATAGAAGAGTATAAGGATAGCACAGAAATATTAGTGCCCATTATCATACTAAATATGGAGGAGCTAGGTCAACACTACTATGAAATTCCAGAAAAACAAATTTTGAAGAACTAGAATGAATATAGTGCAAAAAAAAGAAACTGAAGGGGAAAATTCCTCAGCTCCAGAGCCATGGCATAAAGGCCTGAAAGGACAGTACACTGATGCAGGATTTGCAGAGCTGACACAGAATGTAAAAATATGTTCTTTTTCAACCATACCTCCCTGTTTATTTCCCAACCTTTTGCCACATCCATTTTTTGATCCACTTCTTTAATCCAACTTCTTTTTATCTCTCTTTTTCTTTTAAATCAGCAGATAACACACAATTTTGGTTATGTAATAGAGTCAAGCAAATAATTCATAACAAAGCATTTTCTGAATCACAGTAGCCTCTTTTTCTGCCTATTTTCTACATACTAGGGCATCTGGATGGTGACATTACTGTTCCAGGACTGGAAAAGCTTTGCCCTTTTGCAGGACTGTGTATATCAATACACAAATATTTCATACAAAATTAATGCATGACATTATAAAACTTGCTTTCTGAAATTTGCATTTAGGAAAGCGAAAAATTTGTATGACTAACATAAAGGAAATGTAAAATGCAGATTAATTATTTTGTTGCCCACGCACACACAAACTATTTTTCCTCTCCCTAATGTTTCTTTTAGCAGATGTTGTTAAGTAACAAGACTGAGATAGGAAGAGATTGTACTCAAATGAACAAACAAAACTAGCAGGAATAACTAGCAGATTAAGCCATCACTCTGGGAAGTGGTATATTTTCATTATAATTTCTCATGGTCATAAAGAAAATAATACATAATACTAGCATATGAATAACCCTAACATCATACATACTCCCTGAAGCTTAGGTGCGGAGGTGCTTCTCTTACTGCATGCAGAGAGACAGTGCTTTGCTTTACCATCCCTGAGAGGCACCTGTTCAGTCTTTGCATCGGTCTTCCCTGCTCTGACTTCAAACTTCATAAGATCCTCCTTCTGCAAAGGGCACTGGGCACCCTCTGCTCATGCTAACTGGAAGGTGCAAGAAGTGACTTTTGCCTAAGCAGGAAACTCAGACCTTACTCCATGTTCCAACTGCACGAAGCACTACTACAAGAACTACTAATCATCTACATACAGAGAACAAAGAGGACAGGGCTCATGAAAGAGAAACACAAAACGGCTCTGAAGAGTTCAAGAGAAAAAAAAAGAAAAGAAAAAATTTAATAAAAGAGATTAAAGAGAATAAGAAAGCTCTTACAGGATATCACTAGAAAAGGAGAAGAAAGGAGGCATCCTAAAAATATAGGCTGATAAATGTTCCTTACATGCTTCTAAGATAATTTATTATACTATTAACAATGAAAGAAAATGTAAAAGAAACCAAAATAACTTATAGGAATGCCATGTAGATATAATAGTTACAATTTTCAGAAGGGGTTAAAAATGGCATAAAGTGGAAGGAAAACCTTAGCAAGGACTAACTATGGTTAGGAGAAATGAGGTAAAACTGAGGAGAGGGAAAACAATATAAATAGGAGAAAAATTTTGGGCAGCTAAGAAGGAAAACATTCTTGTGAGCCATTTGAAATAAAGGTGGCTAAAATAAGTGAACTGATTGATCATGCAATGCATCAAAATTACATGTACTTTCCATCAGCAAAAGTCTATTTCAGGACATGTTTTAAATGCCCTTCCAATAATAACTATATATAGGGTAAACATTATTCTCTAGCACTGACTTCAGCTTATCTTGGCAACCCATGGCAAGAACTTAAATTTCAATTAAGTGACAATTCAAAATCAAAGCAGATTATGGATTAAAGCAGCAGTCAAAATTTGTACCTCGAGGGTGACTAGGGCAACAAGGAGATGATCTGTCTCAGCACTAAGACAGCCTTTGAGTAAGTTTTATTTTCTGCCAGTTTTAAAGGTTCCGTTAGAAATGATGCATGACACAAACATGTGACTCTGACAGTCTTGCAAATTGGATCGATACTGAGCTTTCCTGAGATTTAGCAAGGTGGTAGTCCAATATAATAGCCAAATCAATGAAACAAATTAGGTTTTGGGAAATCATTGCCTTCTCTATTTTCAAAAGTATGAAGGGGAAATCAGGATTTTTATTTTTTTAAAAGAAAAATTAAAGAACAAAAGCAATTATTTCCTAGGAATAAGTTATAAACTGCAGGGGAGTCTACACATGCTTCTGTTAAAAACATGGTTAGCAGTTGAATCAAGCATCATCCACTCTCCCTTAATTTACATTATTTACTCATATATTAGAGAGGCCATTTCATTCTCTTCAATTTTAGTGCAATTAAAAACTACATACTTGCCATATAAAAGGTAACTATATCAAATAACATTGGCTACAGCATCCTTCTGGTTGAGGACATATGTAAAAGGCCCCTAAATCTTTGAGGCTGTTTCCATGCCTTCTACAGAGAGAAGAGCAAACAGCAATGGGTTTGCTAATGGCTCCACTTGAACAAAACACAGACTATATATATGCATTGGATTTATCCACTGCACAAGGACAAAAAGTTATAGTGTATTTTCATGAAATATTTGTATTTCAGATCTGAGCCTGATTTTATTCATATGGAATTAACTTGATTTTATTCTATACCTATGCTCATTTGAAAAGATAATAGCAGGACAAACAAATAAAATAAAGAATGGATGTGTCAGCACTGGGGGGTGAAAGATACTTCTTGCGTGATTTGTGAAGAATCACTGTGACATAAACAGCTTTGCAGAAGTCACAGTTTCAGGTGGCTGCGAATGCAAGCATGTTGGCACTCAAACACACTTCTCATTCTGCAGAATCACTTGAAGAGCCATGCAAACCTAGCACCGTGAAGTGTCTTTCTAGAACAGGCAATAGTTCTTCAAACACACAAAACCAGAATAGGCAAAATCAATACATCACCACTTTCATACAGTCAGTTCAGGTATGATTATTCTTTCAGACTAGCTAGGCAGGCACACATGCTATCATCAGGTAGCAGGAAACAATAAAAAGCTCTGACTAGAGCACATCCATTGTAGACACATTTAAGAACTTTTCTGCGTACATTATCTTAATTTTTAAAAGAAACTGGGAAACAAGGAGATAGCAGCATTCAGTGTTAGTCACAGTGTGAAGAAGCAGAAACAAACAATCAGGGTGATTCAGCCATTGTAAAGTGTTCAGCTGGAGACGGAAAACTGATAGAGAATCTGAAATTAAGAAAAAAGGCCTTGATCCAGCTCCCGCTGAAGTCAATAGCAAGTCATTCAGCTACCTCAGTGTGCTTTCCATCAGGCTGCAACTATGCCATACATGAACAAGGCAAAATACACGTTCCAGGAGGACAAAAAACATGATCCTACACAGGAAACCACTGGAGTATTAACCTATGCTAACATTTTTCTCACTGCATGAGTCAACTACAGAGCGACTGAGTGACATGATGTAAAAATATGGGTTTGTAGTTTAGGTTTCTATTTAGCCATTTAATAATTTTACACAGCTAAATATTTAAGAAGATTTTCACCTTTCTATCATTATGTTAAAGGGGAAGAAGAGGTACACTGCCAATGAACACTCAGTTTGCCAAATGCAGATAATCTCCTTTGGGAAGGTACCACTCCAGGTGTTCTGAGCAGGATGCAATGTGCCAGTGATTCAACCACTGATTAACCAAGATCACACAAAAAATGCATGTGGCATGAAAAATTAAATACACTGGGTCTGTGCTGTTATTCTCCTAGTTCCGATATGGTGGCACAATTTGGTAAATATGGCCTAGGGAGTGGCTCTGCAATATTCTTTATATAGACAAGTGAGATTAAAGGCCCGCTTTGTAATATAACAGTTGAAACTAAACCTATCTACAGTTGTTTGTGTTGGATTATTTGTGTGGGCTTTTTTTCTTCATTTCAACAATATTAAACCATGCCACTAACAGAGAAAACATATTATTAATTAAATCAATGGTTAAAACAGTCTAGGAAGGTATAAGAAGCTTTGTTAAGATTTTTTGCAGTGGACTTCTTGTGTGTCCAGTATTCCTTTCTTACAGAGGACACAGCAGATGGGAGAAAGTGGACACTTACTGTATAAGAAGAGAAACAGGGCCATGTGTAACTATTCCTGCTAGTCAGGGTACTTTTTTTTTTTTTCTCTCGGCTACCATGCACTACCAAAACACTAAAGCATCCTGAAGTGAAGTAAGAGAGGAGGATAAATAGGGTGGGTGAGAAGTGCAATGTATTAAAGAAAGAAATTATGCAGAAGTTCACCTGCTGTTGTCATGATCAAGACATGGAGAAGAGTATCTGCAATAGAATAGATGATTTAACATCACAAAGGAAAAGTAAGGGAAAAAAAGAATGAGTTAAATGATATACTGAAATATCGGAAAAATGAAACATTTCTAAATTAAACACATGAACATATATATATGCATATTCATTACATGTGAGCAGGTACGAGTAAGTATGGAAAATAAGCCTACATAAACATCCTTGGCTACAAATGGTTACTACTACCACAGCAGTAAAGCTAGAGTGATCTAGTTTCTCCACACACATTCTCAAACAGGAAGTCAGATACCTAAAATATACAGTTAGATTCCAAGTAAATCTTTCAGAACCAGATCAGGGGAAATGCTGCTTGGTTTAGGTGTCCACATCTAAAATTTGGACCACAGGATATCAAAGGGTAAGGTATCTAAGGTAATTCCAGTCAGTGCTTCTGATAACACAATAAATCATGATTTTATTTTCTTCAGATTTCCTATCAATACCATCTGTTCTCCACTTTCTTCCATTTCAACATGTTTCTTGTCCTCCTTTTGTTCTGCACTACAGAATGACAAATTCCAAACTTTCAGTTTGACCGGTTTAGGCTCTCAGTAATGTGTCACATGGCCAGTTAGTTTTTTGATGTCGCTTTTTATTATATAGATCTCCATCGCCATTTTCTTCCACTGACATGAACAGCAATTTGCTATTAATGAAACACACCTGCCAGTTTCTTTATTGTAACTTTCTGGGTAAAAGTCATAAAGGTTACAGTATAATTTGAAATCAGTTAGACTTTCAGGTTTTAGAAACGACTATCAGCTGGTTGCTGCCAGGTCCTGTTTCCATAACTATTTCCAGGAAATTAATCTCACACTGGGGAAAACAATATTATGGATTCAAAATACAACACTTGAAATGTATTTTGTTTACCTTGTTAGCAAGGATCCAGCCTCCTTTTTTGCAGACATGTAGCTAAGAATGATAATTCACATTATTTGTCACAGTTCGAGCTGCCCACTCCCTCATCCATCTCCCTTTTTCACTGGCAGAAGCAACAACTTCCAGAAAGGTAAATTCACTGATAATTTCACAACTGTTTAATCTTGTCAGATACAAGTACTGATACACTTTGATCATCTATTAGTCAAATAGGGACTTCTTCATCAAATCACATAAAAGAAATCAATAACTTTCATTCAATAGTTTTACTGTGAGCAAGCCTGAGCTGGAAAAACTGCAGAGCTGTTATATATCTTGCTCTAGAACACAAAAGCAAGTTAATATCACAGTGTGAACTCAAAGCTCCTTCCTCACAGTGCCATGTTTCTGACAATATGCCAGATTTGCCTCTCTTCTTATCTACCATACCTCGACATATTTGTCAGTAAAATTCTTAGAAATATAATCTATACAAGTAAATATTGGAAATTTTTTCACTGTATCACCCAAACCCAGGTACGTAAACAACATAATTTTGCACATAATTTATATTCTAAAATCTTACAGTCAGCCTTATCTTTACCATTCGCACTTAATTGTTGTGGGTGATACCAAAACAGGAATACAATTCTGTCACAGAATCATAGGATAGTTTGGGTTGGAAGGCACCTTCAACACCTGTCAAGCAACGTCTAAATGCTGCAAGTGAAAAGAAATCTTTCAATTCAGTCATTTTTTTGCCTTCCATCTTAATGAAAATATGCTTGTGTTCTTCCACAATAGGATATTGTGAAGTATGAGATTAAAACTGTGAAACACATTTGCATTTATGCAAGTATTAGTTCTGTCTCTCATAATGCTTCAGCAAGAAATTATACGTAATATCCCCCAAAACTACCAGCAAAGCGGTAAAACTCTATCTTATTGGATATTTAGCACCCAAACGTTCTGGTATATTCAGAGATCCTTAACTTTGTTCAACATATAAGATTAGATAGTTTTATCAGGAGAAGCAAATCTGATTTGCTGAATGGAAATTTAAATGCAGGAATTTATACTTTTTCCTTCAGCCAATGTATGAAACTATTTGGAAATTGTTAGCTGTGTAAAATGACCAGGAGGTGTTTATGTTGAGATTGTGAGCACCAAAAGAGTGTTACATTTTAAGAGATTATTATTTGCTTGTTTTCAAAATGGCTGCCAAAGACCCTGATCAAAGAGCTTGCTTTTCTTTCCTTATTGATGACATTGTCAACACGCTGAAACAACAGTCTCATTTAAATTCTACATGGATGGTTAAAACATTTTCCTCTTCTGAAAATTCAGACATAGGAGAAGTTTTGATTAGTTGTGCAAAGGCTCAAACATATGTCTGTGAAATTCCACACCAAAAGAGCAGCTCTCTATAAATTTACGCTTTTGCTTGGGGGTGTTACACTGTGATCCACGGAAACACTTCCTTACAATGAAAAATCAGTAAGAACCCAACAACAATTTGGGGTTAGCCACTGAAGTAGTGCAGAGAGAGAATAGCGTTGTTTTTTTTCTCAGATTGCATAGAATACAAAATTAAGATCATCTGTGCCAAATAACTAACTGTCCAATACTTTGCTGATGGGTTACTTTATTAAAACACAGTCCAAATTCAGCACATTTCCAATGTCTTGGGCAAAACCAAGGCCATACCCTTGCTTAAAGCCACTAGCAATGTAAATATAGGATTTATTTTCAAACACTAAGAGTTTTCTTTCATGACAGATATATACTACTTTAATGCGTGCACCTGAAATGTCAGCAGCGTTGCTAGTTCATAAGAACCTAGTAATAGTGTGTGTCTGTGTATGAAGGAGGGTGTAGGTGACGAGAGGGGTATAAATGACAAACGTATTTGTTGTTGTGCCAGCTAAGTGAATGCAACAATCATGCACATGGTACTTCTATAATTGTTTCTCTTTTAAAATAAGGTCTTGCAAGCGAAACTCTAGTAGTCAATGTATGTTCCTAAAAAAAGAGATGTAAACAAGATGCACCCCAACAGTTTATGATAACTTCATGATGCGGGCAAATCTAAGCAGGATAAAAATGAAGTGTTGCACAGTCTTTTCCAAAGGCTGAATAATCATTATTATAGGTTTCTTCATTAAAATATTTAGTGGCAAGTTAGTTGGTATGTATAAAAAGAACATAATTTGTGTCATGTTAAATGTCACTATTTCATATAAGGCTGCAGAGGGCATTGCTCCTACTAAAATCAGATATTCTTACGCTGCCACTAGTATCCTGGTCCTCCAAAAAGATGCAAATATCACTAAGATATTTTTTGAAAGAAAAATACAAAATTATTGCACATCGAAGAAATAAATGCCACTCTTCTAGAAAGTATTTAGTTCATCCTCTGCAATCACTGGAAAGACCTACCTGTCTGAAATTGAAAAGCAATACATCCTTTGGAAAAAGTCTGTAAACTATTTAGCATTAGAAGAAACTACCAAAACAATTTCAAAGCTTACATACTGACATATATATAATACTGTACACATTAAGTATTTTCATTTAATTTGTTAGTTTCAGAGCTCAAGAAAAGCAAATCCAAACAACACTGGTCACAGCCAAATATCCTGTTACCAGCTAACAAACAAACTTCTCATATATGTCACAAATCAGTCAATTTGCAATCGCAGCTATGACAACACTGTTCCTTTTCTAGACCAGGACTGTCTGTCATTCCAAATGGGACTCCAGTGTTATTTTTCGACAGTTACGGACTGTAAGACTGTTTCAAACTCATTTGATATCAACAAAAATATCTTCCTACTTGTGATGCCCAGCCATTCTGTATACAACATAGCTCCACCGAAATGAAATGCTTTTTCATGACAGCAGTTTTTTATGAATTCATCTGCACATGCCTCATCAAAAGATGCAGAACACAAGTGTAGAATTCCATATAAAGAACAAAATTACTTAAAACACAGTAAGTAAGAACACTTAAAACAAATGCACTCACAGATTTTGAGGGCAACCAGGATAAGTTTTGTATGTATGAATTTGGCTGGGCCTGCATTTTGACCTGTCTTACTCCATTTCAATGAGCTTGCTTAAATGTAAATATTTACAAAGAGCCAGTTGTGAGAATATATGAACATAGTGGCCAAATACATGTAAAGTACATGAAGTTTAGGTTGCTTGTCTATTACACGGTTCATGTAATTTAAAATCCTTGGTTTCTTTCTTTAGTAATCATGACAAACACTGGAGTTGGTGTTTACCTAAACTACTTCACTCGCATAGGAAGTATTCACCATGTGGAGTGATTAGGCCCTTGGTCTCAATTATTGCTAACGTTAAAAAGACACTGTATTTATTTTTCCATAACATTCACACAAATGTATGTGTGTGTGTGTCAATTATCTCATTCATTCCTCTTGAACTTGGCCGAAAGTTCACTGGCTTGCAGTGATTTCAGTGGATACTCTTGGTACTCAGGCTTGCTTGACTGTCAGAGCTTAAAAGATCGTAATAATTAATTGACAGCTCTAGGAGGTAATGAATTAAAATATAACTCCTAGTTAAGCATTAGTTGAAGCTGCTGCCACTGAAGGTATTCTGTTTCTCTTTTTTTAATATAATGCTAATTGATACACTCACCCTGAATGAATAGGGCTGGAAGAAAGAGTCACGTTGTCCAAGTTTTCAGGGCCCCAGCTTAAGCGATATGAGTTCCTTTCAGCTTCTTTGGCCAGAGTTGTTACCTTGGTAAGCAAAAAACCCTCCTTTTTACTATAATAAAATCAATTAATCAACCAAACAATAAGAGGATGTATTTTGCATAGTAGTGCTTAAAGCTTTTAAATGTTTTTAAAAAAGAAAACAAAGGAGTAATGATAGCATTAAGATATTAAAAACTCCTAATTGTAACATTTTGTGTTTGTTGAAAGTAATCGTATGTTAGTGGTCCCAGTGAAGTGAATGCTGTGATTTTTCAAAGTGGCATTTCCTTGATAATGTTTTTTTAACTACAAGCATGCTTCAGGATAATATCTTTGAGGCCAGTGGCCTTGAGTTCATTAGAACACCTGAATATTTAGCCCAATGGCTGTTAGCATCATTCAAAAATCAGCTGAAATGGAGAACATTATAAAGACTGTCCCTGTACTATATTCACACAGATTATCCATGTATTTTGGAATAGAATTTAATATTGCACAGTATAATATGCCACTAAATATCAATGAAAATTAGAGAGTTTTGTATTAAAATAAACAAAGCCACACACATGACATAGTATCATTAGTACAATCTAAACTGTAATCTTTTTATATTTCTGTAATTATCCAACCGGTAAGTGAACTTAAGAGAATTTGCTTACCTGCTGGCTGGGGATTACAACTGTATCGTCAATCATGGCACTGTCCCTCAGGTAGGAGGCATGGCTCAATGTATGGGACCTGTCTGAACTGAAGGATCGCAGGCTGGTAGGTTGGTAGGATGCCATAGCAATATATCAGCAGTACAGATGATGTTGTAAAGGTGTCATGATAGATCGAGTGGGAGAATGAAAAAAGCGTGCTATTAGCAATATGATGCAGCTTCCAGGGGGAGCAGATAATAGTCACGGGGGGTGGGAAACCGAGCTTTACAAATCTGTGTTATGCTATCTGTCTGACCAAGGGCCACAAAGTCTTTTGACTGACTTTTTTGTTTCAAAATGCAGAACCTAGAGATTAGTCTAGATGACAGTTCATTTTAAACTCACAAATACTTTATACTTGGCTTTGTGGCATGATAGTTTCGTTCTAATAAAGAGCATGAGCTTCTTTTAAGTAAGGCTCTTTGGAGAAGCGCTTTCTCCTGCTACATCACACAAGCAAACCACTACGGAAAACGAGAATGCTAACATCTGATGAAAAGCTGAAATGACGCTTTCTGAAGCTTTGTTATGATTTACTGTCTCCCCTTAGAATAGGAAATAAGTAAGCTTGATATTGTCCCCTGGAAGGTACACACAGCAAGGTGAATTGAGGCCAGCCACAAGCTCCTGTGTAAAACAAAATTCCTCCTCTATATGCCAACAGCATCTTTAGAGAAGCAGTCCAAATGTGAGCACTGTTTTCTTTGTAAGCACACACAGCTCAACAGCGAACTGGTTGCTGTAGCAATGAGAGATGCAAGGCAGTAAATACGCTGCTTCCAAGCACTTGCTCAGACTGTAACTGCCGGTATCCACTAGCAAAAAGCAAAAAAAGACAAGTAAGACAACCACAGAAGGACATACTGAGGTAAACGGGGTTTCTGCTACCAAATAGCACTGGCTTTGTCCTTTAAGTATTTATTACCAGTGGTATTACATCTGATCAACCACCTTTAGATGTTGTAGGTGTACTCTGTGATATGTTCTGTATCTTGAAGAACATAGTACATAGAACTGAAGGAAGCAGTTTCATTTTCATGGCTTACACATCTACGAGTAGTACTCATAATGACTAACACACTGGATCAGAACAATAGGCCATTTATCTAGATACACAGATTTTTAAGGAATAATTCATTTTCAGCAGTTAGCAATAAAAAAGTCATGTGTACATTATGGACATGAGATTCTAGTGCTTTAAATGCATATCTTGTTGGAAATCATATTTTATAACCTGATTCAGACAAATCAGCCTTTTTTAACAATAGCTACATTCACTCAATTTTTTTGATTGATTTTTAGAACCAAATAGTTATCTCAATTTTATTATAAATATATGACATTGAAGAATAATCAATGCTATTGATCATTGACTTATACCAATGGCCTATTTATCATACTAGATGGATTGTACAAAACTGAAAGCAAAGATAGGTATTACACAAGTATCAGCCTTAGGAAAGTCTTGAGAAAAAAACAAACCAACAATAAATAATCTCTGTTACATGTCATGAAACATCTTTCACCCAGACAAGTGGAAGAGGTGAGACATGTAAGGCTGGTGGAATTGTGCATTTCTGGAATAAAATTCTGATTCTATTAAAACAACCAACAAAATTCAATAGGGACAGAATTTCACCCTAACTGTCTGCATATAACATCACAGAAAAAAGCTATGAAAGAGAATCTTGACTGAGGAGTATTTTGGTTAAACATTGTAGTGTGAATTGGGTAAGCAGAGTACACCCTGCTTGTTTGTAACAAGAGTACTTCAGTGAACATTTGTTCTTTGGTTGAAAAATAAGTCTCAGTAGCAGACCCCATTTGCCATCATTATCCTTTATTCATTTCAATGTTTGACACTTTCAGAACTGCTTCGCTGCGCCATGCAATGCTTGTGAGAGGTTCACTATCCAAGTTGCAGGTTCTGCTATTCAGCTTAAGTCATGTCCTGGATAGATACTGAATGAAAGGAAGTATGTCCTAGATTTGCCTGGTTATCTGTATGGTGATTTTGTCCATATTCTCCTGCAAGTACCCGGCACTGCTACTACCACAACTACAAGTAGCCCAGCACATATCCACTATGTAGTACCTGTATGTAAGCTCTAGTAAATATCCAATACATTGAGCGTATGGACTTTATCTACAGGTATGCACAAGCATGACTGAGGTCTGCAGTAAATTAGAAGTTTCTATTTCCTACTACACAATTTCAAAACTAGTGTTCAGATGACACTGCCCCTCTTCTGTGCACTGTACCAGCTAAATTAAGAGCAAAACCAGTAGTTAAAAGGTCTGTGCTTCTGAGACTTAGAAATAAAGGTACTGACTGAAACAACAGTCCACTTACAGAAGTGTAGTGGCACTGAACAGAACTTATTGTTTATTATTGTAAGTCTTCAGGAATCCGGGAAAAAAAAACTCCAACCTGAATCACAGAGATAAAATTAATGTCTAAATACAAATTCTTTCCAAATCTGGTTGAGAAATCTTACATCACTGGGGTTGTGGGCTCAATAGCACTCTACTCAGCCCTAGAGACTGAACTGTGGAACCCAGCAATGCTACAAAGCTCCTGAACATCAGAGTGTGTCTTGTCCACATCAGGTAATGCACAGGCATGTATCACCCACCTCTTCTAAGCCCTGAATAAAGCCCAGGTGATATCCAGAAAATAAGTGGAGCATACTCTAGAGAAGTTTCTAATCTGGATGACTGCGAGACCATGTTGCAGTACACATCCACTTGTCAGCCTAGACAGAGCTCTAGTAATCTCTAGTCCAGATGAGCGTATCTCTTGTTGTGGGAAGTATATGTTGTTTCAGAAGCTGGGAAAAGAACCTCATATCACTGAAAACTGTATAAATCAGCCTTGAAAACATTTCTCTACTTAAAGACTGAAAGCCTTCCTCACACCAAAAAGGTGGAAGGGACTTACAATGAAATGGAGTCTTTTCGAATACTGGTGATCTGATACGGTCCAAATCAGTTCTGGCTCTCAATATCCAGAGGGATAATCCAGCTAGTGTAGTCCACTCTCTTTATTTTTTGTTCTACTATGGTTTCTCCACATAAAAAAGGAAAATGGCTAACCTTCCCAGCAGCATGGTGACAGAAGGACAGCTACCAGCTGTTGTGATCTAGTGCAACTTCCCTGATCCTTGCTAACCATATCTGCATGGGAATCGGGGAAATTCATGCGGGACAGTGGCTATGTCATACTGCGACCTCTCTAGACAGAGTGTACTGCTGGACCAGTATTCATCACTACGTATCATACTCATTCGAGACTATCATTATCTCCAACAGCAATGTTGTTCATTTGGTTCTCCAAAACAACTTTCCAGCATACAGCAGGCCTCCAAAGTGGATGAACAGAAGACAAGTGCCATAAAGGATATAGAGACAACATGTTTTCATGCTGTGTAATACCTACCTGGGCATGGTGCTAAAGAAAGCATATGAAAAAGAATGAAGGGGAGAGAGAAATAAAATAAATAGGGAAGATGGTTACAAAATAAAAAGATATGTTTTTAAATCAAATTGTTTAATGCATAGGATTACATAAGTCTAGACTGCTAATATTATTTTGCTTTACTGGATTTCTTGAAAAACCAAAGTCAGTATAATGCAATGAAAATCACATAAAAACAAAAGCAAAATAATTTAAGCAGTCTGTGAAAATTCTTACAACTAGAAACCCAACAGTGACAGAAAATGAGACCATGGAGTTAGAAACATGCTTTTTCTTTCGTTCTTTCTCCTTTTATAATTTTGCTTCATTTCAATATGATCATGCTTGATATAGAATGTGAAATAATTTTCATATAACACTAAACAGTGCACATCAATTATATGCCAGTGAAAATCTACGGAAATCCATTGATGGTATTTAAAAGCTAAAATATTTTAAATGGGAGCAGAAACTGGTTTAACACTTGCCTGCACAATAATTTCTATACAACATCTTAAAATGAAAAAAACCCTCAAACTTTATTACCGTTGAAAGCGCGTGACAAAAGGTTTTTATTTTTAAGCATTCTGATGTAGTTCATAAACATCCTCTGAGACTTAAAAAGCCACACAGTCACTTTGTTTTCAGTGGATTCACTGGGGCTGTCTGAAAACCAACAAAGACTCCAAGCTTGTAAGACCTGAATGATCAGGGATTTACACATGCTGTGAGGCAAACTGAACTGTTTTCTGACATCTTTTGTTCCAAGAGCAATTCATAGCCTACTGAAGTAAACAGAATGGATCCTACCAATTTTACCGAGCTTCGGAAATGCTGCCAGAATAACAACGAAGAGTGGAAAATGAGGTAGGTTAAAAATTCTTTTTGTCGCCAAGATCTCAATCTTTTTTTTTTCCCCCCTGTAGTGAACCCCAATTCTAAAGGCAGTAAGTCTGGAGACATTACTGGTTTACACTAGACATTGTAATTTTCAAACAGGAATGCCTGGGTAGCCTATTCTAAACTAGAATTGTGTGTGTTAATGTGCCAGTGTGAATCTACACTTATGCTCACTAATAAAGGTTCTCATTCTGAAAAGGGATCTCTGTATTAAAAAAAAAAAAAAATGATAATTCTTTTAAAAAAAAGATTAAAGCTACAGGCATTTTTATTTCACAAATACATCCAGGCTTAAGTTCAACTTGTTAGATACAAGCAAATTAGTAAGTTTTCTTGAATGACCAAATCCATTGCTCCTTTCCTGATATTTGTAGCCAGCAAACTACTCTAAAAAGCAGCTCACCTAATGCTAAAACATCATGTCCACTTATTCACCCACCCCCTGACTCATGACAGGAGGAGATGGAGACGATTCATAAGCTCTTTCCATAGACAGCTAGACTCTTCTTCCTTTGCCTGACCACAAAGGCAACAAAGCAAGCTATGCCTTTTCAAGAACCAAATAAGAATCACAAACATATTCTTCACTAGACTCTGAATATAGTATTAGTGCCAAATGTATTCATTTCTGGACTGGTCAGGAAATACTCCTCCTGACCACACTTTACTCCCAGAAAGTGGCAATTGCCACACTGGCACACCCAATAAAGAACTACTGACAAGTGCATCCACGTCTCCCTTGAGTCAAAGAACCCGAGAAAGGGATTTCAAACATTTATAACAAAATGTGTGCAGCATTATCATAAGAAAAGATGCATGTCCAGGCAAATACCTGTCAGATCGTCCTCCTTCCAAGCTGTACCTTAGGTAGTTCATACCATCTAAGAACTGGCTACTTGGTAAAGAGTCATCTCCTAGTTCTCGGAGGTCTTCTGGCCTAAGGTATTCTCCTCCATCTCCTGTCATTGTGTCATCACCTTTAAACCAATCACAGAAGGGATAGAGATAAGCACACACGCAAGTTTGATCTCGTTTACATGTTGGGATCTAACAGCTGGATGGCACAATAAACAGCAAGGCATTTTCCGCTCAGGAAACACTGCAAACCACAAGCGATTAATGTATTTAATGAAACTGACACATCAAGCAAGAATAAAAAAAAAATATCTTGAAATCAAGGTGATTAATCAATTAGATTTAATCTAATTTTTGCTGTTGCACATACTGGTAAGGCGCAAATTTCGTTGCTACTTCTAAAGCATGGTCTCTCTGTTCCTTTACCCATTTTAGCTCTCTGGTCACAGTCATATTGTATCACAGCCTGACAGTTGATGATTAAACATAATCACTTACTTGACTGTAAGCTATGTGTTTGCAGCTGAAAAGGTGTTTTCTGTGGCCTTATGCCTGATAGTTGCAAATCCTAACTTAAACTCTCCATTGTCCAAACTCCACTTCATATGAGGTTGTCTCACCCATGTTCCAAGGTCCTTCCATGATCAGCAAAAAAATTCTAATTTCTAAAATACAGCAATATCTAGCAACTGGAAATAAGTTCACATGCATAGATGGCAATGATCATTAATTAGAAAAGTAATTCATAATTAATCAAAGGCTAAATGATCATTGGTTATCTGACATAGTAACCTTTTTGCAATTACTCTGAATAACAGGGCTTTTTTTTTTTTAAGGTCCAAAATTATTTTCCCCAGGAAATTCTGTCTATGTGAAGTCACAGTTTGCTTTTCCCCAGCAGACTAACAAAACAGATTACATTGCCAAGCAACATATGTAGATGTTTCTTTTCATTCCCATTTGCAACACGGTTTCTTTCCACAGTTTTCGCCTGGAGATTTCAGTCCCTTTCCTGAGGGTATGAGCCTGCTGGAGGATTGGTGTGCCCCACAGAATCACACAACATGACCCTAGGCTACCGATATCTTCACATTTTCTCATTTTCTGAGCTGCACAGGGAAATGGCAAGAACCTGAAGCTCAGTTACATGAAGGAGACTACAACTGTTATACATGACGAGTCTTCAGGGGTTACACATTCTAGCTGCAGTAATTCACCCCAATATGCTGAGAAACACAAAGAATTGTAAAGGTTAGGTGAGCAGTATCCATGCTGTTTCAAACAGAATTCTTTTGAGCATCAGAACAGTTGTCACTTGTGTGATTTAAAGTCTTAATAAAGCAACATTGCAAAACCAAATTATTGTCACTGCTGCTATTTCTGGTGGAGTATCTTCCCCCCACCCTGCAAAGTGCTATCAGTATTACAAGCTACAGGTGTGGCGCTCACTACTAAAGGAAGAAATCTTGACATATGTTTTCATGAAACAAATCAAGCTAGTTTTTCTAGCTTGATGTTTCAACTAATAAATAAATAATTTATAAATTTTCATCTAAAACTAAGTAACCTTTGGGGTTTTTAAAATATTTTTTGTATATACAAATATTATATGTAAAAATGAGGCCTAAATCTTTTCAGTGTAACAACAAAAGCTCTTGAAAATTCCATCTGCCCACATTAAGAGGGAGAAACTGGGCACAGTTTCATAGAAAACAATAAAATACATTTAATCATTGTATGTTTCCTGTCTTCTGACAGATGATGCCTCCTGTTTCCTGGGAATGTCACATTATAAAGCACAGGCTTAGTGAAAACTTGGAAGATATTAAGGCAATGCTGTTAATCAAACAGTAAAAGGAATTTCAAGTTATATTTCAAATAAACTAGATATTTACAATCATGCCAGGCATTCCATCTGTAATAAAAACAAAGACAAAATCTTCACCACTTTCATCACACCCACATCCTCTTTACTCTTATTTCAGCTTTAGCCTCTCATCTAAGAGTTGTCAATAATGGGTATAAGTAACATTAACGGTGTTCTGTGATGTGAACATCTGCAAATAGTAATAAAACTATCCATGAATATTTCACAATGTCTTCAGAACATTTATCTGTTGGTAACACAGCTCACTTGCTAGCATACTAGTCTTGAGTGAGTGAACTCAAAGTTAAAGTCACTCCCCGCTAACTCCTTGTTCCCCTCCATCTTTCCTTAATGAGATGAACTCCCAAAACAAGTGGCGCCTCCCAGTAAATTGAGGGAAATAAATACGTATTTAAGTCTAAATGAAGGTGCAGCAACATAACATTTCATACAATTGCGGTGACCTGAGTGCCTTAATTCCCGCTTTGCAGACACACACAGGGAATTATTCTGAGTCTCTGTAGCAAGCACTCATTCACCCTGCCAGTACTAGTCTGTTGTCACTAAAGTATCTGACACAGCTATATTACTGAGTCTCAGTCAATTCAAACGTACACAGACATGTAATCTGCTGAGAAGAAACTACATATTCAGCTGACCAGGTGCTGCTTTATACAGCAGAACTTACCAGATGGTAGTTCTGTGGTGGTACAAGAAATTACCCTTTTTAACCATGATGGAAACAATTCATCTGCCATCACATTCCCCAGCAAATTAACGACAGTAATGTTTTCACCACTTACTAAGCAGTTCATGGCAAATATAGCCCTTGACATTGATACTCCATGATTTACAGTGGCCACCTATGAATTTGCAGGTGGACTGACGAGTTACCCACTTAGTGATCTATCTGCTATTTACCTGAAAGAACATCTTCCTTTCTTGAGGGATACCAACAGACTTTCAGAGGTTTACGTGAAAGCGGAAAACACACTACAAACCACTGGGTGCCCTTGCGCTGAGCCCCATTTAAAGCATTCCTGTTCAGCCTTGGCCTCATCACTGCTACTGCCCATCTCTCAAATATCTCTAAAAATTTTCTCCAAATCTGCAAATTTCTGAGTAACATCATATGTTTTCAGGCTGGTTTGAAAGGAAATAAAATGCACTAGAAGGAAGTATCAAGTACCTGGACTCTCTTAAAAGAAACACTGGGGTTTTACTGGTAAGGACACTGGAGTAAAAAGTAAAAAAAACAAAAACAAATTTTAAAAACTCCAAACCTAGGAATCTATACATATTTAAACAAAGAATGACCAATAGCTGAGTCCCTACACTTGCTGCTGCTAGTATTTTTTCTTCGCAGAGTGCAAACAACTCCCAATATGATAGGTAGCTTTTCCAGAGCATAACACACAAAGCATCATGGTCCCACTGCACTCTCAGCAATGATCTGTTCAGTCTATTAATCTGTTTCCAGTGGCCAAAATAATGCCCTGGAAGAAGATGCAAGACCCTGCAAAAGCACACATTTTGCAACACTTGTGGTTCTTTCTTTTCTCCTCAGAAGGGCGACAGAAAAAAAAATATCAAAGTAGGAGAGAGATCACTTGAAGCAAGAAGATGGAAACAAAGGGTGGGCCTTGCAAGGGCCAGGCTGCAGGGAGAAGGGATCACAGAGAGAGCGTAAGTTTAGCAGATTCCCAGCCCTGTTACTAGGAAAAATTGAAAGGAGATATGGACCTGCTAAACAAGACACTAAACATTTCTGTGAGGTGTCAGCCACCTATGAAAACTATTAAACCAAGTGGCCTCTTCTGCAAAACTAGATACCCAGCACTTTGCAGAACTGGATCCAAGAGAGGGGAAAAAAAGGATGAAAATGGAATGGAGAGGTGAAAGAGAGAGGAAACCTGAGAATCAAAATGGGGGAATTAAATAAACTTTAGGATTTAAATACTATGCTTAAGGCAAGGAAAGCCTGATACAGAAACTCATAATGGGTGTTGGGCAAGTGAAAACCACATTGATAGTTGTTAGTAACACTTTACACAATGTTTTAAATCTTTGTCACAGCCAAGCCAACCAAAAGCTTCTCTATTTTAAGCAGTGAAAAGCAGCACAGAGGTTCTTGGGCTGGTGAATCCATACATACCAGAGTGTAGAGCTGTGCAAACACACTGGTTCAGAAGCAGTCGAGCTACGGTGATTCAGTGTTGTCCCTGAGTAACCAGGCTCTCTTGCAGCAGGGACTGTCGAGCCAGTAGCAGTGCCTTGCAGCTGACCTGAGCAGGCATCCCTGCAGAATTCTGAACCATGATGTGCAACACAGCTGGCACTAGCTGGGGAACTTTGCCATCCTGCTGGTTTGTGCTGTAGAGG